CTGGCTTCGGACCCCTGCCACCTCCGAGTCCCTTTTGTCACCCCAGTTCGGGTGACAACATAGCTGGTGGGAAAGGCCAATGAGGCACAGGAGATGTGACTATTGCACGGCCCTCCCTTCCCATGTTGTTGGCGGATCCCAGAACCCTCCTGTGTCTTGCATGTCTCAAACTGATGCAGAAGCTGGGAACCAAGCGTTCACTTTGGTCCACAGGCCTCTCTCACCTGTGACCACCGGGACAGCTTGCCTGGCCATGTCCTGAGAGGCCAGCACAGTGTCCAGACGATGTCCCATCTGGGCCTCCAGCTTGGCTCCCCAACTCCAGCCCTTGAGCCATGTGCTTCCCCTCATGCTGTTACGCCAAGGAAACCCCTTCCCCTCGCTCCCCCTCCCCTCCTTATTCCTAGCTCCCCCCTTTGATCTCAGGCATCACTTGCCCTGGAGAACCCTTCCTGACCTCCTCCACTTCCTCCACCGTTGCCTCCTCAGCACTCAGCATGCACAGGGACCTCATCTCCGGACGCATCTCCACATCCATGTGTCACCAACTCCCATCAGCCCCAGCTCGCCGTCCAACACGCACAGGCCTCCATGACCCCCAAGCAATGTGTGGCTGTCCTGACAGTACACACAGCATGAGGGAATTTGCCCCCATAAAAGGAACGTAGAAGTTCGCTGGGTCACCGACTCTTGCTAAGTGGGACAGCAAATGTGAGTGCGGAGGACATTAAGACTTGAGCTGAGCCTGCCATCACCTGTTGGTATTTATTACTGCAACTAGCAAAATAACTAGAATAGATGTTCAATAACTGTCCATTAGCAAACAAGTGAAAACATGAATACATGAATTCTTTCCCTAGGATGAATGTAATCATTAGGAATTGCAAACATGTACTAGTAAAACTTAAAATTTTAAAAAGCTGATTTCCTAAGAGTTGTTTATTTGTTGTTAAGGGTCTTTAGAACAACTGCCACAAGTCTGAGGCCAGCATGGACTACGTACTTCAGGGCCAGCCTGAACTACAAAGTGAGACCAGGCCCCCCAAAAAAACAAAGCCATGTGAGACATCCAAAATTTTAAAAGCTACCATTTCAAATGTCACTCAATAGTCACATTGTCTTGAAAATGTGAGGGAACATCTGAGCCATCAGACTGAAAAGGCATTTTACATAATATGTTTTCTATGTAATATCTTATGACCCTGTCAAATTCAAATGACTTCAGAGTTGGGTGAAATATGCATGCAGTGGTTCATAAGCGCTCCTACAATGCCAAACCCCATCAAGCTACCAAGCTGAACAGGAGCCCCAGACCACCAGGTCAACCCTTTCCAAGTTACAAGAACAGCTCTAGATGTCTCCAGCTCTGGAAAAACCCACTGAACTCTCCAATCCTAAGTACAGTGAGTTAACTGGAAGGTGGCAGTCTTCCCAGGTTGGGGCATTTCTACTGCAGAAAGTTAAGAGCTCAGTAACCACCTGAGAAAGTAGGTTAAGTACGTACCTGGCAGAGACACTAATTATGCCCCATTATCTGTCTGCCTTTCTCTCCTGCAGACAGAACTTCAAGTCTCCCCTTGCAGAGGACACAATATTGATTATGCCCAAAGCAGGCTGTAGGCAGTGCAGGCCGTGAAGAGTGAACCCCACAACTGGCTTGTTTATAGAAGTGAGTCTGGCTGAAGCTTACCCACTGAGGTCAAAGTAACTTGCACCCAAATTCCATGCCCACAATTAAAACCTTTTTACCAGAAGGACTATGTTCTAATTACAACCATTTATTTTGTCTATTCTGCTCCTAATTCGAGAATGCTTTGTCTCGCCCTTCACCAGCCTTGCTTGCGTTAATTTCCATAGAAACCACAGGACTGCTCATCCTCACACGTAGTTCTGCCCTTGCACGGAGCTCGCCTTCACCCACATCGATGACCAATAAAAATCAGTGGCTTGGACTGGCCAGTGCCTCTGTCGGCTGCACCAGCCTTGGTTGTCCTGGCACCCTGCTTTCTGTCTTAGTTTTGTCTTTTATTCCCACCCCCAACCCAGGCCTGCGTCCTACACTGAGCAGGAGATGAGCCTACTGCAGAGGTTTCTGGTAACATTTCAGGGGTCCCCAGGATCCCCTGAATTGGTGGCTGTCCAATGAGGAATTAGCTTGCCCCCTTCCCCTGCAGCGAGGTGACAAAGGGGCACGTGTCTAAGTTTTGGGCAATCAGGTGGGTGCAGAACTGGCACTGGAAATCTCAGCCACTATTTTAAAGAGGAAGCTTGTTGTCTGCCACTTTATTTCGCTGCTCTGAGCGCTGCACAATGGGTGAAGCTGACAGTACGGCATCGCCACAGGGAATGGGAGCTGTGTCCACCACAAGACTGTCGGTCAACTCCGGGACAGCAGAGGAACAAGCCAAGGAGACGGGGTTTCTGAATGGGCTTGCAGAGAGATCAACATCAAGCTTGTGTGAGTCACTCCCGCTCTGCATCTCTTTGAAAAGCAGCATAGCCTACACCCTACATAATACAGTAACTTTGTTCCTAATATTCCACATGTCACCGGGCGTGGTGGCACACACCTGTAATCCCTGCACTCAGGAGGCTGAGGCAGGACTGTCATGAGTTCAAGGCCAGCCTGAACTAATGCACACAACCAGACTCTATCTCCAAAAAAAGATACTGTATGTCGTAGGGTGTACAGGGAGCAGGGGTGTAGTCCACCAGGACAGGGTATGCTTAGCACCATGAGGCCCTGGGATCAATCTCCAAGACCAAAAACAAAAAAAGTAAGTTATATTTTAGTATATTGGGGGAATCTGTGCACCCTTAATATTTTACATAATTGAAATACCTTGGAAGTCCTGGCTTTGGTTATAAACTGAAATCTTACTAAATTTATATATAGTATGAAGATATATAAGACAGCTTCAAGAACACCGTATTTATAAGTTTAATAATAGGTAAGAATTATGTGAGTTTTCAGAAAGGTGATGTTGGCATACATCTAAAAAGAAAATAGGGTCCCCGTGGGCACATGTTTCAATTCCTACCGTGAGTGGTGGTTTGGGGTATTTATGATATTACCTCAACTCGCAAGTGAATGGGGCCACGTGTAGACCAATCACAAGGGTGCATTTTGCACAAGGACTATGATTAACCTAAATCTGTGCATGAGTGTTTAAAAATAGAATATTTTGTGAAAATAGAAGGAAAAATATACAAATGAAGCTTTTGTACATAGGGAGGGGAGAGGTTTGAGGGGAAATGGAATTAAATTTAAAAAAAAAAAAGTAATACCTATAAAAAATAGAATATTTTAAGTATTTCAGTTTATGAACAGGATAACTACTATTCAAAAAAACTCTTTTAAAGTGATTGAATATATTGTTAACCCGGCAATGATCTTACAAATATTTGCATTTAGTTGTTGTTTGACTGAGATATATTTTTAAAGTATGAGGGCCAGGGATTTAGCTCAGTGGTTCTGCCGCCTGCCTTTTAAGCACAAGGACCCGAGTTCAATCACTGGTACCAAAAAAATAAATAAATAAATATAATAAAGATAAAAAGTGCTTGTACATATATAAAGGCTAAACAGATTAAGAGATAGATTAAGAGCTGCACAAACTTCATAAATTAGCAGAACACCAAGGAAAAATTACAAATGGTCAAAAAATACATGGAAAAAAATGCCAAATCTAATGATCAAAGAAAATGCAAATAAAGCAGAATCATGGGGCTGGGGATTTAGCTCAGCGGTTCAGTGGCCTGCCTCTCAAACACAAGGACCCGAGTTCAATCCCCAGTACCACAAAAAAAAGAATGAGAAGTGTTATACAGTAGTAAATATTTTACTAATGTTATTACTGCATTGGTAAATAACAATTTTCAGGGAAGAAAAAGTATACTTATGAATAAAATATATACCGTTAAGAGAGCTAAATATTTTATTTTTAAAAATGATTACAGTCAGGCATAGTGGCATACGCCTGTTATCTCAGCACTAGGCAGGCTGAGGCAGGAGAATCACCTGGACTACATAGTAAGTTTAAGGCCAGCCTGAATTACACAGTGGGACCTGTCTCAAAAAAAAAAAAAAAAAAGTAATTGCAAATTTTGCTAAGCTTATAGGAATGGTAAGCTGAACTTAAAAGTCCAAAGGTGGTCAAAAATGAAAAAATAAGCCATATGTCAGGAATTTTATATGATTTGATCTAATTGATCATTTAATTTATAATTTTAAATTGCAAATCATTTTTAATAAACAAAGTTCATGAATAGTCTTCTCTGCATATAAAAATTACCTGAGTTTGCAGAAACTTTTCAAATCAACAATCAGTCTCTTTCTACTACACACAGGAAATCATCTGCAGCACTGCTTGACTGGATGTGGGGTAGGTAACTAAAGCTTTACTGTTTCATACCTCAATGCCCTCAATTTCTTTAAAACCATCCATTTGTTCCTCTGGCTACCTGAAAGGGTACAGACATTGATTAAAACTGCATCTACTGGGGCTGGGGATTAAGCTCAGTGGTTCCATCAGCCTCGCAAGTGCAAGGACCCGGGTTCTATACCTGGTACCCCCCCAAAAAAAACTGGTGGCTTCAGTCATATCATTACTTCTACAGCCTCGGTCTTCTTATCTCTAAAAGCAACTAACCAGGGAAGGAACAGTGGCCCACACCTGTAATCCTAGCCCTGAGGGAGGCTGACAGGAGGACCTCAAATCCAGATCCTGCCTGGGCAACACAGCAAGACCCTGTCTCAAAATAAAATAAAAGCACCTGGGAATGTAGCTCAGTGTTTAGTACCCTGGGTTTGAGGCAAAAAAAGCACCAATACCACCCTACAGCTGAGAGCATTAGGGGGCAGCCCGACAGATGGCACTACCACTGTAAGTCTGTGCCGGCTACTTCACGCTTCATGGACCTTGTGGCGAGACCAGAGCACCCCAGCACACTGGCCTGCACTCAGGCCACCCCCAAATCCTCCAGCGCCAGCCTCTTACCTTCACTGTCTTTGCCCATCGCAGGCCTCTGTTCAGTCCATCTCAAACTGGGGTCAATTCTTTCTCTTCAATTCCCCTTTCCTTTTCTCTTAACCCACACAGTGTCTTTTAGGCAATATTCACGATCAGAAGCCCAGTAAATAAGCTATCACCAGCAGAGTCCCTGCGGTGGATAAGTGGAGGGAGAAAGGCAAGAAGAACCCTTCACAAATGGGGAGGGAAGAAACTCACAGGGTCAGGCAATGGCCAGACTCCCATGAGCCCAAGGACGAGGACGGGCACCCACCGAAAGCTGCAGCAAGAGGGTGCCCCAGCTGTGTTCACAATGCCCACTCTGCCCATTGAGAGGAGCCCAAGGAAGGGACACGAACGGGACAACATCCTCACAATTAGACTGAAATGAGGAGCAGCAGGAAGGAAGGCGCAGAGGCATCTGAGGGGCAGTTTTAGAAAAAGTTGTAACTAAGTGAAGAGGAAGCAAGAAGAAGAGCAGGCAGGTATGATAATTTGGTTTTTTGTGGGTTTTTTTAGTAAAAAAATATAAGCTGGGCATGGAGGTACACACCTGTAAACCTAGCACTTGGGAGGCTGAAGCAGGAGGATCACCACTGAGTCTGAGGCCAGCCTGAACTACACAGTGAGAACTTGCTTCAAAAAAAAAGGAACAGAGACAACTAGTTGTGGGCATGTGACTGAGTCAGAAGTGTTTTCAGAATATCTGAGGTGAGGGGCCAGGGATTTAGCTCAGTGGTTCGGTGGCCTGCTTCGCAAGCACAAGGACCCGAGTTTGATCCCCAGTACCAAAAAAAAAAGGAATATCTGAGGGTGAGAGGATTAGGAAGTAGGTAAAGGTATAAACCAGCCATGCTGGCTGCCTGGGGGAGCCAGAGGTTGTGGGTAAAGACTCCATGCTCATGCACAACAGTGTGAGCCACAAATACAAGCCACCAATGCATGCTTTTCAATTTTGTACCAGTCACATTAAAAAAATAAATAGGGGAAAGTAATTTTGCTCACATACTTTATGCAACCCAAAGCATTCAAAAAGAAATGTAAGAAACATCATTCACCACAAGACAAACTTAGATTACTTCCCTTACAGCGCACAAGAGAAAAACACCATGGTACTTACTGTTTCTGAAGATGATGGTCCCTGTAATCTGTCACTTTGCACCCAAATGCTTTCTGTCACAAATGCTATGCGTTCCGCTTCAAGTACAAAGGGAGAGACCAGAAACAGGACCCATTTGTTCAGGTTGTCAATGGACTGCACAGAGGGAAAGAAACATAAAGAGGATTCAGTGTCACTTCCAACCATAGCTGCCGCTGATCTTGGCCAGCCTGACAGCCCTCCCTGCCACCCAGGTACAGCCCCTGGGCATCTGAGGCTCTCCGTGACTGCTTTGACAGCTGCAAAGTCCCTCTCAGACTAGACAACTTAATGTCCCCAGATACTGTTTTTGTGCAGTTCACTCTGACCACCATTCCTCCCAGCTTAGCAGGCAGGCGCTTTCCAAATCACATGGGGATGCAGATAAGGGTGCAGGCCTGGAAATGTGAGCCAGGCCACAGAGGCCTAAAGATGTCCCAGCAGCAGCACTGGTCAGTTGAGTCTTTTCTGCCTTCACTACTCAAAACAAATGAACAGAACGCTCCTCTCCCAGAGGTCTGGGAAGCGCACAACCTGCAAACCCCAAGATAAGCTCTTTCCAGGAGAGGCCTTCACCACAGGCAGGGAAGTCAGCGGACTGAAATGTGAACTCCAGTCAAAAGCAATTTTAGTTTAGTATTTTTTTAAAGCAGATTAGAGACAATATTGGTTAGCAGATTGGATACGGTCAGTCCTCATTTGTGGATTCTGCATCTGTGGATTCAAACAAAATTATATTGAGGCCGGGGATTTAGCTCAGTGGTACCACACCTGCCTCACAAGCACATATATATATATTACATTTGGCAAAGAAAATCACATCTGTACTGACACATATAGACTTTCTTTCCTTCTTGTTATTCCCTAAATAACGCAGTATAACAACTATTTACATAGCATCTGCACTGCATTAGGAACCATAAGAAAGAGGTGAACAAAGCGTATGGAAAGCACGTGTGCAGGCTCAGTACTGCACATTTTATGTAAAGGATTTGAGTACCAGTAGTTTGGTACATGGCAGTGGTGCTGGAACAACTCTACACACACACCCAACAATCGCAAAGTCTCTCTAAAAAGGCAGCAATTTGATTTTAGAAAATTTAAGCTTAGCAAAAACAAGGAATATCCAAAACAGAAAAAGCTGAAATCTGAGGGGATGGGAGATTACCTCCATTTATTAAAAAGGCATTTGGATATTTCAGTCGAGTCCACTGTTAGCAGTTCAAATATGCCCTTGCCTAGGAGCCCAGCATGTACAGATGCTTAATAAATACCTGTTGAAATAATTTAATGAATGAATATCTGGGGGAGGACCTAGGGGTGGTGGCGCACACCTATAATCCAAGCACCTGGGAGGCTGAGGCAGAAGGACTGCTTTGAGTTGGAGGCCAGCCTGGGCTACATAGTGTATTCAAGATCAACCCGAACTACATAGCAAGACCTTATATCAAAAAGAAAGAAAACAGAAAATCAGAGAGGAAAACTCTCCTCTATGGTTTAATATAATCATTAGTAAACTACTTTTTAAAAACTGTCCATTTTACTCCAACAGAGAATATGTATAGTGCTTAAAATTTCCAATTTTTATCAACTATCTTTAGTTATACTAATCAACTTACAGTGGAGCCCTCGATTATATAATGTACACATTCAGTACAATATTCATACATCTGATTTGAATAAAACATGGGCCATGTGATTCAGTTCTGTAAAGTTATTCAACCTAGGTACACTGACAATAAGTTATTCACAGCACCAAATCATCAGCCCAACATTTCCAGTCTTAAAATAGCAGTAGCTAATTACAAATTGCCAAGTTTTCCATTTGTAGACCTTGAACATCAGAGCACAGATTGAATAACAATTAAGCATTCTTTTATTTATTGAAAAACTGAGCAACCATTTCAGACAGGCTGCTCATCTATAGAGACCCAGTCCCCAGCAAGGACAAAACTAAAAACTAGAAATAAAGAACTGTGGTTTGAAATCTGAGGCCACACGGCAGGGTGGTCCTATGAGGCCTGGAGAACAAGAGAAGGCAGCCCTGGCACAGCAAAGCTCTGGAGGAAGCAGAGAGCACTTCTGGGCAAAGGCCCTGAAAAGTCAAGGCTGCCCCAGCTCAGGTCTGGGGAAGCTGGCAAGAGCCTAAAACATAGTCGGCATAGCTAGCAGATGGATCAACACTTTTAAATGCTTAAAAGTGAGAAAACGAGGACCCATCTCTAAGTTTTTACAAGCTCAAATTTTCTATTCTGATCTACAGCCTAGTGGTTATTTTTTAAATAAATTCATCAGCATGGAAACCCCTACAACAGAAAAACGCACCCCTCATTTTTTCCTCATTTTATCTTTCTCATTCAGGTTCCTAGGACAGTTAAGTCTAAAGCTAGGGCATCTAATGAAACGAATGCACATCTCCCCCTGGGGTCTAGGTGGTGGTCCCTACCTAGGTGGTTGCCATGTACTTTCCTCAGAGACCTGTAAAGACTCATGCTGGGATTGAACTCGTGACCTTGCACTTGCGAGACAAGCGGTGGAAGCACTGAGGTACATCCCTGGCCCCAATTTACTGTATTTTTGATTGAGGGTACCTTTTTACCTCCCAGGGGCACAAATCCATCCCATCCACACCTAGGCGCAGCTTCAACAAGTTCAACCCTGAAACGGATGTTATGCTTTGACACACGTAAAAAACGCTCAGAGTGAACCAACTTCGCAGAAGGAAGAGGAAAGGGGCAAGAAACCCATCGAAAGCCACTGTCCCTGTTAATGCACAGGACGATAGTGAGGGCCACGAAAAACGTGCGAAGAAGCGAGCCGGGAAGTCCGGGCCCTCCCGGAACAGGGCAATGGAGAGAAGGCGCGATCCCTTGGCGTCAGGGAGCGGCTCCGCAGTGACAGGGCCACCGAACAGTAGCCACCATCCTAAGCATTGCGCCGAGAGACAGTGTCCCGCCCGAGCCGCGGAGGATGCGGAGGCTGTGGGTGAGGTGTCGCTGCTGGTAAAGGACGCACGGACCGCAGCTGCACTGGGAAAGGGCAAGTTCTGTGGGCCGGAGAAACTGAGCTTTGGGAACTGCAGGCCGGCCCAAGCTGCAGGGTGATGGTCGTCGGGGGCAACCGCAGGTCCGCGCACCTCCAGAGGCCGCGGAAGCCCAGCCTGCAGCCCCGGCAATCAGCCCCG